AAAATGAACAACACATGCTGAGTCATCATCTGAGACTGCTATAACATGAAATATATGGCAGAATGCGGGTAAAACAGAGCAGGGGACATACAATTCTCCCCCAAGGAGTTCAGTCACAAATTTAATAAACACGTTTTTTTAACAAGCGTCATCAGCATGGAAGCATGTCCTCTGGAATGGTGGCCGAAGCATGAAGGGGCATACGAATGTTTAGCATATCTGGCACGTAAATATCTTGCAAAGCCAGCTACAAAAGTGCCATGCAAATGCCTGTTCTCACTTTCTGGTGACATTGTAAATAAGAAGCGGGCAGCATTATCTCCTGTAAATGTAAACAAACTTGTTTGTCTGAGCGATTGGCTGAACAAGAAGTAGGACTGAGTGGACTTGTTGGCTCTGAAGTTTTACATTGTTTTGTTTTTGAGTGCAATTATGTAGCAAAAAAATTCCACATTTGTAAGTTGCACTTTCACCACAAAGAGATTGCACTACAGTACTTGTATGAGGTAAATTGAAAAATACTATTTCTTTTGTTTATAATTTTTACAGTGCAAATATTTATAATCAAAAATAATATACACTTTGATTTCAATTACAACACAGAATACAATATATATGAAAATGTAGAAAAATATCCTCTTTGATCAGTTTTAACTAGAAACAAGCTAGAACCTAGTCTGCCGCTGTTTCTACCGCTGTCTCTGCCCACTTGCTGTAGAGAGTTGTATATTCATTTCGCCATATTTTCAAAATTGTTTCCCTAATAGCAAGAGTTTCTGCTATAAGTTGGGGGCTCATCAGATGGAAAAACCAGAGGAGGAGAAAGTCCAGGGTGTATCCGTCGATCGCCGGATGACTGTGGGCCATCATCGTGATGCGGCCAGGAAGAAGGCGAGTGCAGTGTTAGGATGTGCAGATGAGCCATTTCCAGGAGAGACAGGGACGTATTAAAGCACTTCCCAAGGTGCGGGTGAGACCTCATCTGGAATGCTGCGTACAGTTTGGGAATTCAGACTGGAACAGGTGCAGAGTGTGGTGCTGGCAGAGCAGGTGCCAGCTGATGGCGAGGTCCCCATGTCTCAGCTGAACAGTGACAAATTCGCAGCTGGGATCAGTCTGGCTCCCCGTGTCAGCATTGTTAAAACCGGTATTAGGATGTTAGGTTTGTGTTTAGCATTTGCTGAGTGCTTGTGAGCTGCTGCCGGCATGAATCTCACTTACAATACCAGTAGCTCCGACTGCACGGTAATATTTAAGCCTGTGTATTGTGAGCCTCTGTCAGTATGTAAATCACCAGACAGGAGAGAGCCCCTAACTAGTGTGCCCGGCAATCGGCAGCCGAAGGCGTTACCGCCTGCCCAACCGGAAGGTCCATGGACACCAGACAGACTATTATAGAACATTAAAAAAGACAAAAGACTTTGTTGCTTTGCTCTCCTCCCCCTCCCCCCACCATGAAGATGAGTCATACAAATAGGAAAACCTTTTTCACTAGGAGGGTGGTGAAGCACTGGAATGGGTTACCTAGGGAGGTGGTGGAATCTCCTTCCTTAGAGGTTTTTAAGGTCAGGCTTGACAAAGCCCTGGCTGGGATGATTTAGTTGGGAATTGGTCCTGCTTTGGACTAGATGACCTCCTGAGGTCCCTTCCAACCCTGAGATTCTCTGATTCTGTGGGTGCGAAGGGAGCTCTGGAGCAAACTCGGTCACTGCTGTTGGATGTGCTGGGGCAGCTCTTGGTCGCTGCAGAGCAGGGAGAGAGTCTAGAGGCCTGGCCCAGCCCTGTACCTCACCACAGGCGCTGCACACATAATGCAGACACCTGGGGCAGTAAATCTGACCATGCTGCGAACGAAGCATCAATCAGCTTCTCTAGCAGCTTCTGAAACAAAGTTAAATTCATTAAACTGTCAAATGTCTTTTTAAAAATACTGGGCACCGAGCCAGCCTCTGTAAAACACTGTTATCCTGACAGACAGACAGACAGACCTCTAGGAGAACCTGGAGCCCGGACTGCAACCCCCAAGTCACGCTTGTCAGCCGAGAACGAGCATTTCACAATAAGTAGCTTTGGACTCACTGCTCTGCGACAGGCGATACGGAGATCCTGAGCATTTCAAGCCATAGAATAAAGAAACCAGGACAGTGTCTAAGTGATGCAGACCATAATAATGCTGCTATTCGCATTCAGCGTAGGTCCTACACCTCCAAAACCTTAACAAGAGCTCAATGGAAAAGTGGCTCCAGCAAACGTCTTTCCTGGCCTGCTGCTTACAAGTGACTCAGCCCAGACCCCACCCGAGTCACCCCCCGCCAGGTGTGAAACGAGAGCTCCCTTCCACCAGCAGTGCAATGACCGTGCACACGCACACTCACCCCACGGTTACCATCAGCAATCGCATGGGGTGAGACGCACGTGGCCTGGGCCAGGCTGATTAGGGCTGAACACCTGAAAGAAGCGATGCCCCCGAACACTGGGCTCTCGCGGAGGTGTAAACTGAGGCTGCGGGCACGGCCACGACAGCGGTATCAGCGCTGCCCAGTGCTGAGAGGACCAGGCAGCTCAGCCTGTATCTGGGGGGGGGAGGTGGGGGCTACAGGCCCATGGTCTTTCCCCCTCAGAGAGTCGCATTCTCAGGCCTCTCCGGTGCCCCGCACTGCAAGGGCCGTCACCACTTTAGTCCCAGCGTTCCCTAGCATGATAGGTGTCTCCCCCAACCCTTCGCCACAGGGCAGACTAAGGGGTGACTCGATCCCAGTGTCCGAGTGTCCACGGGGAGGGGATTCCTGCTGGCAGAGGGCTGCTCCTGACCGCTCGGCTGGAGCTCAGCCACGGGAATCCCTGGCTGGATCAGACTGGCCCCTCCTCCCGGCCCCCGCTTGCTACGCTAGCTGCGAGGGGTGGAGAGCAGGAGGACCAAACCGCGGAGCTGCCGTGGTGGGGCAGAGTTATTCACACAGCGCAAACGAACCCTCAGCAATTCACGTGTCCACTGCTCATCCTGGGTCCGCATCCCACACTTGGGCCTTGGCGGGCAGACAGACGTGCACCCTCGGGCCCAGGGACATCCCATCCCCAGCTCCGGCACCAGAGGGAGGGGAGGGCTCGCACCCCCCAGCAGCGCTACAGAAGAGCACTGGGCGTTACGCCGGGGCCGGCCTGGCTGGGTGCCCCAGGACCCACAACCTGCTCCACAACCTGCACTGCTTGTCCAGCAAGTACCCTTCAAGGGTTTATGATTCACAACCCAGGGCCCTGGGCCTGAGTGACTGGCCCAGGCTGCCGGCTTCAGGCCCACGTGGGGAATCTGCAGAGCTGGAGCTGCAACCCTGCTGCTTTGGGGCCCACCAAGAGGACAGCCTCTTTCTTCCGGAGATCCCCCCCACCAAACCATTCTGCATGCCTCATGGTGCCAGTGGGTCCAGACCTGCACCAGGAAGGTCTTGGGTCACCCTCCTGCCTGACGCTATGACCCTCCTCCAGAAGGCTGCGTTTGAAAGGACGGCCCAAAAACAAAGGAAGGATGCCAGCGTCTGCTCCATTTCCTCCTTGTCTGGAAAATAACAACTGCTCGTATAACTGCCGGCGCTGCAAGATACACTTGGGGCTCAGGCAAGCCACCCCCTCGTGTTAACTCAGCTATAATGGGCTTTATGGCCAAACAGAAACTTCCCTGAGCGTATTTCAGAGCTCCTGGCTTACAGCCGATCATTCACGACAGGTACGTGGACACTGCAATCAGAGGCGTGACTGCAGCACAAGCAGACGTACCCGAGCCAGCTTTGGTCTAGGCAGCGAAGCCGCCGCAGCAGCTGGTGTACACCCCGACCCAGGACATGCACGCCAGCTGCTGCTGCCAGGTGATTTGAATCACAGGGGAATTGGGGGTCCAAATCCCTTAGACAGCTTTGGACACCTCAGCCCTGCCCTAGTAGAATGAAGCTTCGCCATGAGATGCCCTGGGAGCTCTGTCCCTGGGAGCACTGGCTGGACAGGACCACCCCGCTCTGGCAGGCAGTTGGGCGAGACGACCTAACAGGCCTTTCCCGTCACCGATGCGAATGTTGATTCCCAGCCCCCTGTTCTAATCACTGCAGCGCATTCCCTGCCATAGCCAAACACAGCCCAATGGCCCAGCTCAGCAGGACACGGACGCGTGTGCTGAACTGCGAGGGGACAGCAGCCCCTCTGAAGCCAGTGGGCTCCTCACACGCAGGTACCTGCCTGAAACAGGGGTGCAAAACACCCACATGGTCTGTGATCATCAAATTATGACCCAAACATTCATTAATGCGTCAACAACTCAGCCACGCTCCCAGGTCCGGCCCCTGCTGTGAGAAACAGGAGTCTTAGCAGGAAGGGAGGACACAGCAGGGACACAGCGAGTTACAAGCTGAGCCGACAGAGAAGATGGGTCCCAGGAGAACTACCCCCAGGCTGCAGAGGAAGGAAAAGGCTGCAGCTAACTGAGCCAAGCCCCTTTTCCAGGGCTGCTCTGTTTTCCTGTCGATTTATTGCTGTCCCCTGGTTCCACAATAATGCAGAGAGTGAGGCATGATAAGGACAGATAAAGACAAAATCAATGACCATCAATCAACAGAGCTTTCCGATGGGAAAGGAATGCGCTAATCAATACCCTGCTCTGCTCCCAGCGTCTGCTCACACGGAGCCAGCCAGACAGGGGCCATCAGCTACCACAAATGGGCTGTGTCCCCATCTGCTCGCCAGCCAAGGGCGGGGGATGGAAAAGCAGGAAGTTAATGCAGCCGGAGAGTTTCAGATATTGTCGGAAGCACAGACGGGGCCAGGGCAGCCGCCTGCTCCGTACTTTGCAGCTCAGGGCTGTTTGGCTGCTTTGCTTCAGTTCCTTTCAGTGGGCTCCAGGCACACGAAGGAGACTCAGACGTAACGCAGCAGCGTCCTGACACGCTGACTCAACCCGCAAAATCACCAGCGCTCTGAACACACACACATCCCAGCCGCTGCCCCGGAACGCTCACCTGTGGGCATGATGCGGTGCATGGCCACCGACAGGAAGAAGATGGAGTCGCTGTAGTAGGACCCGGAGCCAGCACTGAAGTGTTTCTGCATGGCCTCCACTACTGGAAACAGCTGTTCTGTCAGCACGTCCACGTCATGGAATATTACCTGGGGGAGAGACAAACCACCATTGGGCTCATTGTGCTGGGCACATTCGCTGGTGCGTAATACTGAACCATGTAGATGATTTAGTTGGACTCCAGATGTGCCCAGAGCCCTTTCTGGGCTGGGCACTGCACACACACAATAAGGGACCCTGACCCAAGGAGTTTATAATTTAAATAGATGAGACAGGGCAAGAGACAGTTTATCTCCACTGTTCAGATGGGGAAACCGAGGCACACAGCGATTAAGTGATTTGCCAAAGGCCACAGAGGTAATCTGGGGCAGGGCCAGGAGCTGAACCCAGATCCCAGGAGCCCCAGCCCAATGCTTTTATCACAAGCCCAGCGTCCCTCTCTAACGTTTCGGCACAAGACTAGGTGCAGGGAAGGATGGGCCACCGCATGCTAACCAGGGTCCAATGACTGCACTGGAGGCGGTCAGAGCCTGTGGCACAGGCGGCTTCCCCGGGTTTCTGACACGGCTGCTGATGCAGCGAGAATGTGCTCTGGGCCAATGGCCTGGACTTGCTCTCATTTAAGCCAGTGGCAAAACTCCCATCGATGTCAGTGGTTAGGAACCAGAAACTGTCCCCCCGAGAGATCGCACTGTCGCCACAGGTGGTCAACAGGGGCCTGATCCCACAAGGTGTTATTTGCACACCCTCCCCTGCAGCAGGGACTCTGCCTCCGTCTACGTTTGCACCGTATCTAGCACATGGAGGGCACATGCCACAAATGCTAATAAAACCACCACCACCATCATCCGTGAGAACAACTCCCACCCAGATCAAAGGGAACATCTCACTGTTCCCAGGCTGATCTCTCAGTGCACTTTATATCTCCATGACTCTGTGCTGAACAAGGGGGTATGACGGACTCTCCTGCTGCGCTAGTTTGCTGCCAGGGCTTGGGCACTCACGAGGCCAAGGAGTGCAGCCGTTGCATGGTGCATTGAAAGCAACAAAAATAACTGCTCTCTGCTAGTGCTTCAGAGGGTCCCAGGACAGCAGTGCCACAAATCCGCCTTGTGTATCTGTTTGCTGCTATGGTGCAGATCAGAGGCTGGTTTAATACTGGACTGAACACATCACGTCACAAACAGAGCACTCGCCCCTTCCCTTCCCGGGGCTGGTTTCTGTGGCTGGACATGCAGGGAGATTGTGAGCCCTGCACAGACATCACTGTGGCCTGCCACTTGTAAATACCATGGAGAGCATTACGGCCCGGAACACTGGGACTCCCACGATGCTCTGTGCATCCTGCTGCGTAGAGACCTCTTTCGAATGCATGCTGTTTATAACCCTTCTTGCTGGTGACACAGGACATAATTAAACATATGCAAAAATAAAAATCTGGTTATTTTCATGAGCTACAGGAAAACAAAACAGCAATGCACCCACATGCTGTACTGCCCTCTGAGAGACTGGAGACTAAACAAATGAGGGCTAACGAAGGGACTGTGCCAAGAGGAGCATGTGTTCCCAGATGTACTTCATCAGCCATTAGCTACTGACATTTTACAAGCCCCTAATTTATTTTGAGATGCGACCTAAGTTGACACACAGTAACTTCTATGCAGTCCAATGTTCATTATCCAAATGCAATACTATGGGTTCCTGAGTCGTGCCAGATAACCAATGGAATGTTCAGGGTAATTAGTAGACATCAGGACCATGACCCTGTTGCTGATAAGAGAGTTTGGGATCTCTGAGGCCTGGAGAATCAAGGTCACGCTGTATTCTGCATGTAAAGGAAAACTGGAAAAGTTCTACCCGGACACTGGCTCTTCAGTAATGTTAAACGCAGCCGAATCCGGAGAGCACAAAGGGTCTGTATTCCACGGCTCTTCTCTCCCAGGCAGTACTGTCGAACTAAAACATCATCACTAGAAGAGCTGCAAATTCTAAACTAGACTCAGAAATCAAGCCTCAAACAGACTGTGATGGGTTTTACTTCAATGCACCAAACCAAGAGGTAATTCATCCATAAAAGGGAAAAGTCTCTGATACCCGGGAAACGCAATAACTGACACCACCATCTTCTATGCTTCTGTAAGACCCATTATATAACAGTGATGTCAGGTTTAGCTCTGCATACGGACCTTCCCTCCCTGTCGTCTGGTTTTATCTCGAAGTTGAAGTTTTACCTTGACTGTGGATGTTACCAATGAACAGCGAATAGAGAACTCAAATCACAGGCTGGCAGCATTGCTGCCTAAAGACAGAAGAAGAAGGTCTGTTAATAGGGTACCGATTTCTCCTTGAGTCCCCTCCAGGGCAGGGATCTTAGCAGCATTTAGGGTGACCAGACAGCAAATGTGAAAAATTGGGACAGTGGGTGGGGGGTAATCGGAGCCTATATAAGAAAAAGACCCCAAAATCGGGACTGTCCCTATAAAATCGGGACATCTGGTCACCCTAGCAGCATTCCCCTCTCCAAGCTGTGTCAGACACATGCCAAGACTTCTCAGACACTGTCTGCATTAGGAAAATGGCTCGTGGTGGACGATAGCCACAGGAATATATATATGGAGATATACCTATCTCATAGAACTGGAAGGGACCCTGAAGGGTCATCGAGCCCAGCCCAGCCCAGCGCCCTGCCTTCACTGGCAGGACCAAGTACTGATTTTTACCCCAGATCCCTAAGTGGCCCCCTCAAGTATTGAACTCACAAGCCTGTGTTTAGCAGGCCAATGCTCAAACCACTGAGCTATCCCTCCCCCACAAGGTCACATTCCTTGTGCAGAGAGTGCTCTAGTCCCTGTGTCTACAGACAGAATCATAGACTATCAGGGTTGGAAGGGATCTCAGGAGGTATCTAGTCCAACCCCCTGCTCAAAGCAGGACCAATCCACAATTAAATAATCCCAGCCAGGGCTTTGTCAAGCCTGACCTTAAAAACCTCTAAGGAAGGAGATTCCACCACCTCCCTAGGGAACCCATTCCAGGGCTTCACCACCCTCCTAGTGAAATAGTGTTTCCTAATATCCAACCTAGACCTCCCCCACTGCAACTTGAGACCATTACTCCTTGTTCTGTCATCTGCTACCACTGAGAACAGTCTAGATCCATCCTCTTTGGAACCCCCCCTTCAGGTAGTTGAAAGCAGCTATCAAATCTCCCCTCATTCTTCTCTTCTGCAGACTAAACAATCCCAGTTCCCTCAGCCTCTCCTCGTAAGTCACGTGCTCCAGCCCCCTAATCATTTTTGTTGCCCTCCGCTGGACTTTTTCCAATTTTTCCACATCCTTCTTGTAGTGTGGGGCCCAAAACTGGACACAGTACTCCAGATGAGGCCTCACCAATGTCGAATAGAGGGGAATGATCACGTCCCTCGATCTGCTGGCAATGCCCCTACTTATACAGCCCAAAATGCCGTTAGCCTTCTTGACAACAAGGGCACACTGTTGACTCATATCCAGCTTCTCGTCCACTGTAACCCCTGGGTCCTTTTCTGCAGAACTGCTGCTTAGCCAGTCGGTCCCTAGTCTGTAGCAGTGCATGGGAGTCTTCCGTCCTAAGTGCACTGCTCTGGCTAACAGAGTTGTGAGTCTATTTAGGGTGGGCCTTAGAGCCACAAGAAGGGGCCACCTGCTTTACAGCAGCCTCCATCGTTTCTGAGAGGTCTGAAGGCCGAAAACCCTCGGCTCTTTATGACAAGCCGAAATTGTTGCTGGCTCCCTGAGTGATCTCACCCCGACTCTAGCAGGAAACACATTTGTTATGAACTAGAGGAAAACCAGGGGAGAGTGGAGGGGCAGGAAGGGACAACTGTGAAGCTGCCCCTGAATCTCAAACCATGCTGCCATTCCCCTGGGTGCAGCACTCCCCACACCAAGCCAAGATCCGCAGGGCCCTCCTGACCGAATTAGCACCTGGACATGCCCGAGCCTTGCTCAGTTACTCCAGTCCTGCCCGGACACCCACTCTGCTCCGAAGGGTCTCTGGCTCTCACAGGGTTACAGCGGCAGGGTGGCTGCAGACAGCCCCAATGTCACAGCTTCACCTAGAGCTTCAAGTGGCCCAGCCCTGTGACCTGGGCAATGGAAGGACACGACACCCAGCCCGTGAGATGAGGCAGCATGTCAGGGCAATGCGCTGTCACAAGCAGCTCTCTCCGCCCACTCGTGCACAGAACAGACTGGAGCATGGGCCTGCCACAGCAGATCAAAGCGATGGCCCATCCATGAGACCTGCTGTCTCTGCAGCAGCCTACTCCTGGTGCTTCTGAGCAGGGCTGCTGCCGCCCCCACAGGCACTATGGCGGGGGTGGCCGTGGGAGAACTAATCCCGTCCTGAGCCCTGCAGCTGAGACGCGTCCGCGCCCGGGAAGGGAGAGCGCTCCCCGCTGTCTGCGCCGGGGAGGGGGTGTCTCCTGGCAGAAGAGCGCTGGGGGCTGGGCTCTGCCCTCAGTCCACAGGCAGCAGTGCGGGAGGAGGAACAGAATGACTCTGCTCGGGCCGCGCCGGGCTGGGAGACAGGAGGGGTGAGGCTTTGGGAAGCTGTCACTTGGGCGGCGCGTTATTGTGTCACTGAACAAAGGGGAGACCAAGGCTTCCCCTGTAGAGATCAGCTCTGATGGGGGGGGAACGGCGCCGCACGGTCGGGGCTCTCCCCAGGGACAGGAGAGGGGGCGGGATGTGGCCTGAAAGGTACAGCCAGCGCGACGTTACATACCGGGGTGGGGGGCAGGAATAAGAGGCGGCGCCGGGGACGCTCCCCACGCCACGCCGGCCCGCAATGCTCATGGCATGGAGGAACACAGCCGCCAGAGGGGTCACCAGCAGCACCCACCGGTCCAGCCAGCAGGGGAGCAAGCGAACCCGTCCCTTACTGCACTTCCACGGGGCCAATCAAATCGGAAGGCTAGTGGTGGCGGCCGGGCAGCAGGGCTAGAGTTCGGCAGTGGCAGAGACCCCCTGTCCTCCAGGGGATCCTGGGGCTGAGGGTCAGGCCCATAGCCTGTTCCACACTCCATCCCCGTACAATGACAGGGGAGAAA